CGCCACGCCGGGAAAAAACTACCGGCCTTCGCCGTCCCGCTGCAAACTCCCCCCAACAAAGGTGCCCGAAATGCAACGTGTAATTGGCCGTGGATGAAAACATCCTTTGGCAAATAAATACCAACCTTTTCCATGGTCTGCCCCTGGCTTTTGTTAATCGTCATTGCAAAGGCAGGCCTGACTGGAAACTGGCGACGGCATAGAGTGAAAGGCATGCGCTCAGTGTCCGAGGGGGTCATGCTCAAGTGAGGGATGAAAACCTTTTACCCTTTCTTGGGCCCAGTAGCAACCTCTGCTTGAATGACTTTGTCCACGAGCTTCACAACAATAAGCCGTGTCCCATTTGCAAGCCCGTTGCTCAAATTGCGCAGCAATATGATGGGGCAGCCCTCTTGCAGCTACAATTTGTGTGGGGGCACTCCAGAAAAGTTCAGTGAGTTTAGAAACTCAGTAGGGTACAGCCCTGTCTGCTCACCATCAACAATGGAATCAGCGCTAAGGTACACCTTGCGCTGGGCGGGTGTCCCATCCGCATTTTTGAAGTCAAAGTTCTGGTTGACAGTAGCATTGATAGCATCAACGTCCAAATTGAGTGGAGCCAGTATGGCGCGCTGGATCAAAAACTCTAATTGGGCTGCAGGATCGGCAGGCATCTCGCCGTACACATCAGCAATCAAATTTTTGACAGTGGTGCCATTGCACAACAACTCAGGGGGCAGCCTGATACTGTCCTCGCCAGCATCGCTGACGTTGGGCTCCGCACCATCACCCACTCGTTTCAAATAGTCTGCCCACTCTTGTTGGCGTTTGGCGTTGGCAGCAGCGTCGGGCCCCCCTGCCGCCAGCAAGCGCTGCACGCGCATGTTTGTGTGCAACTCCTGCTTCCGCACATGCGGCCAGATCTGTTCGGACTTGTTGAGCGTGCCCGCCACAACATCTGCACGTCTGCCCTTGGGAATGACGGGAAGGATCTGCCGAAAGTCACCGCCCATGACGAAGACCTGACCTCCAAATGGCACATACTTTAAGCGTGGCTGCTGCATGGCCATGATGTCGCGCAGGGTGCGGTCCACCGCCTCAAAAACATGCCTGTGCATCATAGGCGCCTCATCCCATACAATAGTTTTGGAGGCCCTGATCAAGTGATCAAGATGCTGTCACACAGCCACACACCACGATGCACATGCGGTCAAGTGTTCCGCTGGGAACACAGCAGGCGAAACGGCTCCCCACCATCGCCAGCCCAAAAAACAGCCGACTGTTACTTCCAGTAAAAAAATCCGTTGCATGTCATGAGAAGAAATATCGTTCATCTAACGAGGGACATGTACAAAGGGCAGGCATGCGTCAAGACGACGAAGCCCACTGTCTTGAATTGGGGCGTGGAGCTCAGAATGGAGTTGCAGCGTGCACTGCCGAGTAGCGAGGCCGCGAACATCCGAGTGAGCTGCAGCCCATGACCACGGGCCAGACGCGCGTGCTGATTGCGGGAGGGTCCTCGCGTTGGGATGTGCGACCGCGGTCGAAGGCGATTCCAGGCGCGATAGGTGTATGTGCATGTGGGGTGCACTGCGCGCTGAGCGAATTCCGCCACGGAGGAGGCGGCGGGTCTATCTGCAGCTGCTTTGTCAGCAGCAGGTTGGTTTCCCCGCCCGGTCAACCCAGGTCAATGCTACAGCCTTGCTTGGGTTGACAGGGTGCGGCTGCAACCGGCTGCAAAGCACACATGCGTGTGTATGCAGAGTTCACCAGCGGCGCTGGCAGCCGCCGGCGCCAAGCCGCTTGAGCAAGCATAAACAGGGTTGCAGCAACATCGACGACGGCGATAAAGTAGGTTTGAGCGGGAGCGCGGCGCCCCAAGAAGCTGTACAAAAATCCAGGCGGGCTCGCAAGGCCGCAACATTGGGGAAACCGCCGGCGCGTCGCCAGCATCGTTAGCGGGGCACAAACGAGTGGCAAACACCAAAAACGTGGTGTGCTTGCGCATAAAGAGGCGGTCGGTGGCAACCGGCAGCACGCGCTTGCCGGGCGGCCGTCCTTGCGTCCTTGGGGCAAGCAGGGAGGGGCATGAAATATCTGTACAGGTGCAGTGGAGGCGCGACCGCCCTGCGGCCGCTGTCATCAGGGGCGCAAGGGGCTGCTTGCGCGCTCGTCGACCACGCAGCCGCCGCCCCAGGGCTTGCGAGCGGGGCCCATAGTCACACACGGATGCAAGGTTATGCCTGAAGGAATGCACGCTGGGCGCGTGGCAGGCGCGGGGCGGCGCGGCCTGCGACGACGCGGTTGAGGCATGCGTGGAGTACCAATAGCCGCTGCGACGCGGGCACGCCGGCTCGGCCGCCGCTGTGTGCAGGGGCTTTCCAGGCCCGCGCTCACAGCCAGGCGGACATGGCGCAGCCAGAGTTGCCCACGGCCAGCGGCCCGCCGGCCATGAACAGCCGCGTGCCGGAGGCGTCCCACGAGTGGGTGTACACCGTTTCCCGCACCTCCCAGCCCCTGCGGGCGCACGCGCATACGCGACAGGTCAGGACAGGAGGATGGCGGGGGGAAGGTGTGAAGGCGGGGCAGGGGGCCGGAGCACGAGGGGGCAAGGGCTGTCCTTTAGCTGCTTGTCAGCAAAATGGTGCGAGCACACACCCCTGCCCTGGATAATCCAAGCGGCCCTGCAATTGCAACTTGGCATCCCATCCGCACTGGGCTCCTCACGAAGTGTTGCTGCTGGTGCTGGCAATGAGAGGCAGCTGCAGGTGCCCCAGCTCCAGCGGCTGATGGCCGCGCTCGGCGTCAAACGGGTCGTCCTGGGGTTTCAGGGGGGTGGAGGGGCCACGGGCACATGCGCGGGTTTGGGGGTGGGGGCGCCGGAGGAGGCGAGAGGCTGCTGAGCTCACTTCCGCGTGCAGCGAGTCGGCGCGCTCCGGCGGCCAGCGCAGGAGCGGCCGCACCCTGCGAGAACCCCGGAGGCGCTCCACCGGCGGCCGCGCTGGCGGCCGGCCCGCCACGCCTCCCGTGCTCCCTGCCCCCTCTGAAGTGCAAGATGGCACTAAGACGCACGCGCGTGGGTGTGCACACCCATGCATGCATGCACAAACAAACACCGACACACACACACACACACACGTATTACGCACACACCACACACACACACACACACGTGTTACGCACACACACATGTGTTACGCACACACACACGTACGCACACACACCTACGCGCACGCCCAGCCACACACACACTCAAGGACGCGCGCGTGCAAGCGACTCCAAGGCCCACCCCTGGTGTCAGGTCCCTCAGCCGTGGCCCCTTGGCGCGCCGCAGGTACCGCAGGTCGAAGAACGCCACGCCCGCGTCCCCCGTCCCCGCAGAAAGCACGTGCCCCGCCAGCTGCAGCGACCGCACGCCGTTGTCCGTCAGCGGGATGGTGCCCGCGGCGGCGCAGCGCTGCCGGAGGTCCAGCAGGTGGATGTGGAAGCGCGAGCCCGCGGCGACGAGGCGGTCCTGCACTGCCAGGCACGCGAGCTCGCGCGCGCCCTCGAGCACCACCTGCGAGGGCGGGAAAGCGGGGAGGGCGGCAGGGGCAGGGAGGGGGGGCAAGCCGCTGAGGGCGTGCTCCGGGGCCACGCGGGGCGTGCAGGGGGTTATGACAAGGGGGAAGTGCTAGGCGAGAGGAAACAGGCTGGATGCAGGATGGAAAGCTGGACCAGGCGTCCACGCAAGGGCGGGGCCGAGGCTGGGCGTCGCGGTCCGCTGCAGCCGCACAACTGGTTGCACGGAGGGTGCCGTGCCGCCCCCGTCGCGGCCGCCGGCGCGCTGCTCGCCTTTCTGCACAGCCTCAGGCTGGTGTCCCAAGCCCCGACGGTGCCGTCCACCCCAAGGGACACGATCCGCCCGTCCGGCACCCAGCACTTGATGTCCCGCTGCTTCGCGAGCTGCGGGCGCAAGCGGAGGGCAACGCAGGGGGGGGCGCAAGTGGGCGCAGCGTCGTCGTCGCCAGACTGTGTCGTGCGGCAGACCGACTTGCCTGCATGCATGCTCCTGCTGATGCAGGAGAGGCTCGCCCGGCGGAGAAGCGGGCGGCGCGGGGCTCCTGAGCCTGTGGAGCCCGGCCTTGCGCACCGTGCGCTTGTTCTCCAGCACGGACGCCAGCGGGGCCGTCGACTCAGCGGCGTACCCGCCGTCCTCGGGTTCCACCACCGCCCAGAGCTTGATGGTGCCGTCGCGAGAGCCTGGGGGAGGACGGCGGGGGCGCGGCGCGCCGGCGGCGGGCCCCAGAGCAGGGCGCAGGCAAGGCTGGCGCGAGGGCTATTGCAAGGTGGGAAGGGGCGTGCAACAAACGAATGACCGCAATGCATCCAGTAACACCACGCTGCTTCTGCTGCTGCTGCTGCTGCTGCTGCTGCCGCTGCTGCTGCCGCTGCCGCTGCCGCTGCCGCTGCCGCTGCCGCTGCTGCTGCCGCTGCTGCCGCCGCTACTGCTGCCGCCGCCGCTGCCGCCGCTGACGCTGCTGCCACTGCTGCTGCGAGAAGTCGAGCGCAAACGCAAATAGGACATGAAGCCAACACACCTGAGACAAAATGGGACTCCGTCACCCATGCAAGCCCAAAGATCCAGTCCGCATGCCCCTGGGCAAACGCATGTTTGAACAAAGAACATGAACCACTATGCGACATGCGACTGCAACCACGTCGTCCACAACGACAGCCAGCCGCTGCCCCTCAACTCACCAACGAAAGCGGCCCGCGCGCCGTTCCACTGCTGCGCCACCCCCGCCAGCAAACCCCTCTCCCGCTGCCGCCTCAGCCTCACCGAGAACGTCTGCACCGGCGTCAGCGTGTCCCGCCGCAGCACGACCGCGTCCTCCGCCGCGCGCCCGCCGGTCACCACGTACCGCCCGTCTGGGCTCACGTCCATCGCGTGCATGCCGCAGTGGCCGTCGGGGTTGTACATGAGCTCGGGCGCCTGCCGCACCGCGGGCTTCGGCGGCAGCGCGACGCGGCGGTGGCGGCGCGTGACGACATCGACGAGCAGCAGGCTGTTGCACTTGGTGCCCACCAGGACGCTGTCGGGGGATATCCATGCCTGCGTGCCACGCGTCGAGCGGCGCGCGGCGTGGGAGCGAGCGTGCCAGGCGGCGCAGCGGCTCCAGACTCTTGCAAAAGGCGCGTGCCGGCGGCGCGGGGTTGCAGCGCACCGAGAGGATGCCGCAGTGGCGAGCAGCACCCTCCCTGCCCCAACAAGCCCGTTCATGCGTGGCGCGGCGTTCGCATGGGCCCTGATGCAGGCCGCAAAAGCTCATGGAGACCTACAGCACTGCTCCTGCAGACAACTGGTTGTCTGGGCCGGGACTCACCGAGCAGAACGCCTTGTCAACGTCCCTTGCCGCGTCAAACGTCGTCGGCGTCAGCAGCCAAGGCTGCACGATCCGATAGGTAGAGCTCAGCCGTTCCTCCTCCCTCCTGTAAACAATGTGTTTGGCGACTCTCACATCGCGCCCTAGGCCCTAAAGGCGAGCAGGGCAGCAAGTGATGAGTGCCCGCGCGCGTCCCAGCTCGCCTGTACGATCGAGCTCCCGCCTCTCTGGCAAACAGCGCGTGGCTGACACTAAACAACGATCCATTCCCGTTGCCGTGAAGCGCGGGTGTGAGCTCGTAGCCCAGTGCGTCCAGCTTGCTGAAGTCCTGTGTGCTCGCGCCCATGCCCACGACTGCCGGGCGCGGGAGCAATAACTTAGTTATCCTCCCATCCAAAGGCCTGATGCTGCGTGCCTCGTCACCGGCTTCGATCTCAAGCTGCTGATGCAGGCCGAAAGGGTGCGTCGCATGCTCCGCTCTATCTGCTTCTGCTGAGGGAAGGGGAGGCATTGAATGGGGGGAGTGCGTTGTGCTGCGAGTCCTATGCCGTAGTCCGTGACCTCAATAGCTCGGAATGCTTTCGGCTCCTCATCAGCAGGGAGCCGAGTGTGTGTAACGTCGGAGGCACATGTGGTCAATTAGCCACATGATGGTGCATCTCGGGCCTTCCAGTATGTTGTAGACAAGGAGAGGATTTGTGCCAGCAGGGGCGCTTTCCCTAGCCGCCTGAGCCAGCTGCTGCTCGTTGCCACGTCCAAGACACTGGCCCGGTGGGGGATGAGGGGCCCTACGGAAATGTGAGGCCCGGCAAGTTGTTTCTTCGTCAGCTCAGAAATTTCACACATTTGAAGCACTTCGCCTTTCGTACATGTTGTAAACACGCAAGGCCAACACCTGCTGCTGGGTGGAAGTTGTACTCGCCCAGTCTCCTCTGCCCCGCCCCTTTTGCCCCTCTGGATTCACGTACCGGTCAACACCGGCCCTTAGGGCATGTTACAGCCAAGGTGGGGGCGCGGGCCAGACAACATCATGCATGCGTTGATGTGCCACACGTCTTGCAGTGGCACACAAAAAAAATGGCTTGCCATACCGGTAACCTCAAAAACATCGACTGTACAGATGCCGCTCCCACCAGCTCCTCGCACGGACAAGGAGCTCGACGATCAATCTCAAGCCATGCCAAGCACGACTCGAGCCCGAATAAAACATGGCGGCCGCAGGCCCTGGAGCACATGCCGGCGTCACTGCTTGGGAAGCTTCAAGAGGTTGTCTGTGATGCTGCCCGTGCCAGCAGAAGAAGCTGCCCCGCCCGCACCTGCTGCACCCGCGCCACCAGCCCCAGCGCCGCTCGCACCCCCCCGCCGCGGTGTGACGGCAGCCGAAGGCGTCGCCGCGCCGTGCCTCGGCTGCGGCGTCGAACCCCTCGGCCCCAGCTGCGGCGTCGCAACGCCGGCTCGAGGCGCGCCGCCGGGCGTGCCGCTGTAGCTGGCCCGCAGGCGCTGCTGCAGGGCGGCGTCCGACAAGAGGCCAGTGCTGCTGCCGCCACCTCTAACGCCAGCGCTGGGCGTGCCCGCTGCCAATCGCCCCTTGCCCAGCTGCGTGGCCAGCCGCTGCCCCGCAGACGACAACGGCGCCCCCGCCGCGCGCCGCAGCGAGTCCAGCACCGGCGTCGCCGACCCGCCCGCGGGCCCGCCCGCCGCGCGGCGCCGGAACGCGGCAGCCTTCTTCTTTTCAAACACCTCCTTCGCCGCGGCCTCGCGGCGGCGGACCTGCGGCAAGCGGAACTGCGGGCCCTCGCCGCCGCCGGGGTCGACCCCCAGTGCCGCCCAGTCCTCCTCGGGGTTCTCCACCAGCCGCAGCGGCGTCGCCGCGACGTCCCCCCACGTGACGAGCGGCGACGCGCCCGCGCCCGGCGCGATGGTCGGCGTCCTCAAGTATGCGCGCGCGCCGGCCGCGCCACGCTGCGCGGGCGCCGCGCGGCCCCCGGCGAGCGCCTCGGCGGGGTCGCCGCGCGCCTCGGGCGCGGCCGCGCCGGGGAACCCGTCGCCGTCGTCGTCGCTGCCGCTCGCGCCCGCCGCGAGGCCCGCCGCCGCCAGCTGCGCCTGCTGCTCCTCCTCCGTCTCCGCGGCCACGCGCGTCGCCGCGTAGCGGACGCCCTTCGGGGGCCCTGCCACCATCGCGGCCCGCTCCTTAGCGCTGTACTCGAGCACCGCCTGCTGGCTCGCGTCATAGTACAGCCGGTTCTTCGGCGTAAATTTCCAGAGCACCAGGCTGCTGGGCGCCTGGCCGCTGGTGCCGTACTCGTCGGTGGGCGACGGGCCCTCAAGCAGCAGCGGCGCGTCCTTGCCCTCTAGGTGGTGCGCCACCTTGGCGCGCTTGCGCGCGTTGCTGGCTTCAAGCAGGACCTCGAAGCTGGCGTTGTCCTCGCCTGTGTAGCTGCTGAGAAACTGGTCGAGCGTCATCTTCGGCGCGCGGGCGTCGCAGCGCCAGTCGGCGGACGGGCGAGCGGCGTCATAGCAGGGGTGCGCAGGGAGGTGCCTGGGGTGCCCGTAAAGCCGCCGCCTGCGCCATGCGCGGGCGTCTCCCCGGGGAGCGGGGTCTTGAGGCCCGCGCGGCGGCGCGCAATGTTGACTTGTGCCCGCCGGATGACAGCGGGGTCGCCTGCCAGACAAGAGCGGGGTGATTAGGTTTCAAATTATGCGCAGGCGAGCCTCAGCTGGCGTGCAGCGACGGGACGCAGGAACCAGCATGAGCAGCAGCGACCACAGCAAAGCAGCGGCACGAGCAGCAGCGACAGCAGCGGGTCCGCAAACGCTTTGACGCATCGTCTGCCCGTCGCGCTGGTGAAGAATATCATTAATTTTCATCCACGCACCACTCTTAAGGGCCTCCGCCCACTCCAACGCAGACTGGAGCTTGGGGATGCTGGGGAAGAAGTCCCGCTCAATAATCGCCTCCACCAGCTCCGTGTATCGGTCCTCTTCTAATATGCGCTTATGAGACGTCACGGCCTTGGGAGGGCGAGACGCGGGAGGGGCCATGGGGCCCGCTCCGGACGCCATCCCAGGTGCAGAAGAGAAGGGAGAACTGTGCGTGGAAGGACGTGTGGCGGTGAGGTAGAGAGATACTATAATTTGGTTTGAACGACGCGTGGCCTTCACAAGTTTTGCTCCTTGCAGAAGCGACCGTGTGACGACCCGCCATTCACCGCGTGGCAGCAGCTTCCGGGGCTCGCTCAGGGCTGTGCAGGCATCCCTGCCGCCCAGACGCACCGTCTTGTGCAGACTCAAACTTGCGAGTGCTGAACGCATTTCCTCTCTTTTGGCCTTGAAGCTCTCGAAGCCAGTGAATGCAAGACCGCCGCTCCCAGGCGGGGTGGGGGGGGCAGCAGGATGACCCTGCCGAACAGAACAAGGCTTCATGTTACTGACAAGTCTGCTTCCATGAGATCTCATGAGAGTTGTATTTTCTTGGGACCATCGTGGGGGTCTCAGAACGGTGCAGCTCTCCCTGTAGCAAGCAAAAACTGCCTAAAGAGGCATTACAGCTATGATTGGTTCAAACCGATGTGCGCTGCTGATGTCCCTGGTTGCATGTGACGCGCAAAACGCGGAGCAACGCACACGCACACATCGTGTGAGAGGGTGAGGTGCAGAAATTGATGCATTCAGCACGACAATTGCTGACTCAAGGCACAAACAAAGGAGATGCCAGATTGACAATGTGCAGGAGACGTGCCCAGCACTTGCACGCCCAATGCAGGAGCCCTCAACTCGTGGCGCCAGGTTATTTCGACAAAGCCCTGGGATACAGTATCAAAAACTCCACAGTCGCAGCAATAATCCCTGCGTCGGTCAAAACACTGCAAGACTCCAGTTCAATATGATGTGTATGATTGACATATTGCAATCAACCCTCTTCCTACCAAGTTCGCCTCATCCGCCACCTGCAGCAACTGTTGGTGCAGATTGTGACAACCTGCAGCAACACTAAGGCTTTGCCTGCGCGGCGGCCTGTTGCTGGGCTGCTTGCTGAGCAGCAGTTGCAGCCGCGGCGGCGGCGGCGTCAGCAGCTGCCTTCTGGGCCGCTGCTTGTTGCGCAGCTGCCTGTTGGCGGGCAGCCTCGGCAGCCGCAGCGTCAGCAGCTGCCTTCTGGGCCGCTGCTTGTTGCGCGGCCGCCTGCTGGCGGGCAGCCTCGGCAGCCGCAGCATCAGCAGCTGCCTGCTGGGCCGCTGCTTGTTGCGCAGCTGCCTGCTGGCGGGCAGCCTCGGCAGCCGCCGCGTCGGCAGCTGCCTTCTGAGCCGCTGCTTGTTGCGCAGCCGCCTGCTGGCGGGCGGCCTCGGCTGCCGCAGCATCGGCAGCTGCCTTCTGAGCCGCTGCTTGTTGCGCAGCCGCCTGCTGGCGAGCAGCCTCGGCAGCTGCCGCATCGGCAGCTGCCGTCTGAGCCGCTGCTTGTTGCGCAGCCGCCTGCTGGCGGGCGGCCTCGGCTGCCGCAGCATCAGCGGCTGCCTTCTGGGCCGCTGCTTGTTGCTCAGCTGCGGCCTGCTGCTGGGCAGCCTGCTTTGCTGCCTCTGCGGCCGCCGCATCTGCAGCTGCCTTCGCAGTTGCAGCCTGGGCTGCGGCTGCCTGTTCTGCAGCCGCTCGATCTGCAGCAGCTTTATCAGCTGCAGCCTTGTCCGCAGCTGCCTTGTCCGCAGCCGCCTGCTGCTCAGCCGCTTGCTGCTCAGTCGCTTGCTTCGCAGCCGCGGCAGCAGCCGCATCTGCTGCAGCCTTGTCGGCAGCTGCCTTATCTGCAGTCGCCTTATCCGCAGCTGCCTTGTTGGCAGCCGCCAGTGCAACAGCTGCCTGCTGCTCAGCAGCTTGCTTGGCAGCCCCGGCAGCAGCTGCATCTGCGGCCGCCTTGTCTGCGGCGGCCTTGTCACCCGCTGCCTTGTTAGCAAGAGCTTGCTGCTCAGCCACTTGTGCCGCAGCCTGGGCGGCATCCGCAGCACTTTTGTCAGCCGCGGCTTTGACGGCAGCCTGCTGCGCGGCAGCCGCAGCAGACACGGCCGAATCAGCAGCCTGCTGGCCCTGCTGGGGAGGCTGCTGCGCGGCGGGAGCCTGCGAGGCTGGCGGGGCGGCTGTAGGCGAGGGCGAAGAGGCTGGGGGAGTAGCAGCCGCAACAACTGGCTGCGGCGTGATGGTTGCCGAGGGCTGCGACGCCACAGAAGTCGGCGACAAAGCGCTCGCAGGTGTTGAGGCCACGGCCGGGGCCACAAGTGGAGCACTGCCAACAGTTTGCTGTGCTTGTTCTGGGGCGACGCTTACGCCCGCAGGCGTCGGCTGCACCTGAGCGGGGCTGACAGGAGGCGCTTGCTGCTGCGACGTGGGGGTCGCAGCCGCGGCGCCCTGAGGAGGCAGCGGCGACGCCACTGGCGACGGCGCGACGCTCGTGGACTGTGGCGGCTGCCCAGCTGCTGCTGGCTGCTCTGCCTGCCCGCCAGCTGCCTGCTGCACGCTCGTGGTGTTGGCGGGTGCTGCCGAGCCGGTGTTGATGACAATTGGCGCCGGGTTTGCTGCAGGGGCCTGGTTGGCTGCTGGCTGCACAGGAGGCAGGGGTACCCCTGCTGGCGCAGACACGATCACTGGTGCAGACACATCCTGGGGCTGCACGGATGCTGCCACAGGCAAAAATGTCGTATTCGTGGCACCCGCTTGCCTCTGCTCTGCCTGCTGCGTCGGCTGTGGCGCCGGCTGCGCTGTAGGCGGCGCTGTCGGCTCTGGCGTCGTCTGAGCCGAAGGCTGCTGAGGCGCCACTTGCAGAGCTGACGAGAGCGACTGCGGCGATGCCTCTGGAGGCGGCGACGAGGCTGGCGGGCCAGACAGCCGGATTGGGGTCTGGCTAGGTTCTGGTGACACAACCGGCTCCGCAGTGAAGTTGACAGCGGCGGGCAATAGGGTGGCTTGGGCGGGCGGCGGCGTTGTGATAGAGTTGTCCTGCGGCTGAGGCTGTGGCGTTGGTTCCAGCGCAGTGCTGTTTGGCTGCTGCGCCGGCGGCTGCAGGGGCACGACCTCAGTGCCATTGTCCTGCGTGCGAGCGATTCCATACAGTAGCGCCGCCATTGGGTCCCTGGTGGTGGCGCCAGCTGGGACAGTGCTGTTGCTGCCTGCGACGGCCGATGATGCCGCTGAGCTGTTGCCTGCTGCGTCTACGGGTGTGGGCACACTGGTATTGTTCGACTGCAGCTGCGGCTGCGGCTGCGTAGTGGTGCCGTTCCCCGCGCCGGTCTCTGTTGGCACCGGATTGCTTGCGTTGCCAACCCCTGGGCTGTCAGGTGGTGGCTGCACGGGCAGCGTGTCTGTTCCATTGCTGTAGCCGGGGCTTGCTGGCAGCGGCACGGCCGTGCTGTTGGATGCGGTTGAGTTCTGCTGGCTCGTGACGTTGTCAGCCCCAGTACCAGGCAACTGCTGGCCGCCCGTAGCGTTTTCATATGTAAAGTTTCCATCTGAAGGGAGAGGGATAGGGGGCTGCCCACTCGTGTAACCGCCGCTGTTGCCGCCGTTGTTGGCCCCATCGTAAACCCCTCCATAATCGCTGCCGTATCCATAGTCGCTGCCCCCGCTGTACGCACCACCGGTGTCGCCGTAATCACTGTAATCACCGCCGCTGCTCGTGTAACCGCTGCTGGTGCCGCCACTGTAGTCACTGCCTGCGACAGTTCCGGTCCCTACGGGGTAGCTGCCTGCCGGGATGCTGCCAACACCGGGGGTGGCGCCGCTGCTGGTCACGACGCCGGGCTGGCTTCCAAACCCTGGTGGTCTGCGGCGTGGTGCGAAGGTGCCGTTGCCAAAGAAGCCCCTGAAAACAGAGCCGTTGGCGCACTGGATTTCCCAGTGGCCGCCTGCGAATTGTCGCTGGCCCCGAGTTCCGTTGACACGCCTCCTTGCGCGACCCAGCCAGGCGCCACCTGGGAGACCCACCGCCCCGTTGCCACCGCTGCCGCCCTGCTGTGGCGGCGGCAGGGGCAGGGGCGAACCTGCTTGCAGCATGCGGCGACTGAGCCGGCGGTTCGGGGCTGTGTCAGCAGGGGTGCCTTGCGGGGGTGGTGACAAGCTGTCTTGTAGGCTGATGCTTGGAGCCGCGCCTGGCGTGGTCGCTTGGCCACCTAGTGTCGCGCCCTGCGCGCCATCACCACCCCGGCTGCCTTGCAGATCGCGTTGCTGCTGGTCGCCACGGAAAAAGCCCCGGGCGCGGGGGGCGCTGTTCTGCTCATCGCCACCGCCGCGGAAGGAGGAGCCCGCCGTCCTGTTGTACGCGCCGAAAAAGGGTCTTGCGGTGCGGTTTGAGGTGCCATTGCCAGGCACCCACACGCGCCTGCAGTCGCCGCTGAGGTTGAATCCCTCATTGTAGATGCTGGTGTTGAATCGTGAAAAGCCGCTGTCAACAACGCCGAGCAGTGGCTCCAACGACGCCGTGCCGTTGCTGCCAGTCGTGGTGTTGCTGGTGGGCTGGGCGGCCCCAAACGTGGCGCCCACTGCGTTGCAGAAGAGGAGGCAACAGCGTAAGCCGCTTAGCCAGACGAATCTTCTCTGCAGACATGCACATCAAAGGCCCGGGTCGCAGGTGCGGGCGGGTGCATCTTCTTTGCAGCTGAAGCATGAATCAGAATGCGTGAAGCGGGTGGATGGACCCGCCATGCCCACCTGCCAGCAACAGCAGCTTCACGGCGACCATTCGGGCTAAACAGCCCATTGGAGCCGCTTGCGACCGTCTTGGGGGCTTGCTAACCCGACGCGGTGTGACCGGTGGGAAAAAGATTTCGTCAGCGTGTTGGTTTGTGCGGCACGGGTCGTGGGCGTGCCAATTAATGCGCGGATGCGGTAGATGAGGTGTCATAACATTTCGAGCTCGGGTCTACATCGGGGAAGAGGACCTGGGCCGTGCCGTGAACAGGGCTGCGGTAGGGGCGGCTTCGCTGCTGCAGACAGCTACCGGTGACGATACGTCAGCTTCTCCTGGTCCTGGCGAACGTAAGCTGCAGCATGACCCTATTGCAATGACTGCAATGAGGCTGCATAACCAGTCGGTAATGCATCTGAGCCGACAGCACGGGCTGGGGGCGGAGTTGTGCGCGTGCACCGGTCGGTTGCCTGGAACTTCGCGGTTGCTCCTCAGTGTGCGCGGGGGCTGGGAACGGCAATATCGCCAAACATGGTCATGGGAGTACACATGAAGACCGTGCCCAGCCATAAAGTTTGGGGTTGTTTTGGTGTGCAAGAGCTCGGAAGGTTGTACAGTAGCGAGCAAGCGAAAGAAGGGCGATCACAGATGTGGCCATCCCCTGGAGGAATGAGCCCCTGCACGGTGATCAGACCTATTACACCTCACACACATGCTTGAAAAAACATACGCACATACACTTGAAAATGCCCTAAGGGTAGATGCAAGGCAGTTCCAGCGGCCTCACATTGTGTGCGATCTGCGTGCTGGGCATGCTGCGTGGTCCTCCAAGCAGCTGAGAGTCCCCACATGATCTGCCCGACGTCTCTGGAGGCCAATATATCATGGAGCTACATACCCACCTATTTGCTATCATGCTCTGTCCCACATCAAAATGAAGATGACCATTCAACGGTCATTTCAAATTCGCAGCAATGGTATCGGAGGGGATTGCTGCCGGAGAACGGGAGGCGCATACCTGTCACGAATTCGCTCAAGTCTAGCATCAATTGTTCAGACTGCGCCCGAGATCACCGTTTAGTACCCCGCAACAACGCGAGTGTGTCAGGAATGGCTAGACCAATGACAATGGTCTGAGGCCTCCTCATCGCTCCTCGGTGAAGGGGCGGTGCTCGGCGCCTAGCGCAGCGCCGGCAGCAGAGCAGAGCGGCCGTGCCGCACTCGGACTCGGCAGCAGTCGCCATGGCGCAGCCGCTTGTCCAGATTGCGGGCTATCAGGTCTCATTCCCCTACAAGCCCTATGGCACGCAGTTGGGATTCATGAATCAGTTCCTGCGCGCCGTGGATCAGCAGGGCAACGCTCTACTGGAGGCGCCAACTGGCAGCGGCAAGACGGCATGCCTGCTAGCGAGCGCGCTAGCGTGGCAGAAGCGCCACCTGGAGGCGGCCGCGGCTGTCAAGGCGCGCAACATGGTCAGATCCATTGCGCGCGGCGGCAGGAAGGGCAAGCCAGCCACCGCAGATGGCGGCGGTGAAGGCGCCGAAGCAGCAACCTCTGCAGAGCCGTGCGCCTACGCGGCTTCAGAAGACGGGGGCAAGGGCACCAGCGGCGGCGTCAAGCAGCAGGAGCAGGAGGGCGGCGAGAAGGTAACGCTGGACGGTGTGTCAGATGAGGTGGAGGAGGCCGAGGACGACGAGGACGTGCCGCGGGTCCCAAAGATCTACTATGCGACTCGGACCCACTCCCAGATAGCACAGGTGCGTGGCGTGGCCGCCGCCACATCTGCGGTGATGACAGACCAACGTCTGTGCATGCTGCAACCTTGAATTTGTCATGCTGCAGCATGGGGCAGCTATCCTGCCTATAGCAAGCTGCACATGTGAGGCGGATTTCAGTTGGCGTTGATTTTGGCTTTACCCGGCCCCACACCATTGACATGCCCGGCAAAGGTCATCCGAGAACTCAAGCGCATGAGCCTGACACCCCGCATGGCCGTCCTGGTGGGTAGGGCCAAGCTCTGTCTCGGGAACTGGTGGCCCCTGCATGTGGACGACTTGCATGCGGCTGCGGCAGCCACACTGCCATGCGGCAGACGTATTGGACACCTCGAGTCGTGCACTCCCGTGCCCCTCCCTGACCCTGGCGTCGCATGTCGGTGACACCACTACCGGCGCGCGCCCGTGCAGGGCTCCCGCCCGCACTACTGCATCAACAACGCGGTGCTGCGCTCAGGCAATGTGGACGCGAGCTGCGACGAACTCATGAAGGACCGTGGCTGCCGCTTCGCTAAGAAGGGTGCCGGCATCACGCACGCAGAGGCACGGGTGCGCGAGAACTCGTGGATGCGTAGCAAGGTGTTCGTGCTGCGTGCGTGCATGCGTTTGAGGGCTTGCATGCCTGCCCGCCCTCAGTTGCTGCCTTTCCTTCCTCAGCAGCCTTTCTCAGCCCCGCTTTACCCTGTCAAAACCAATGCAGTGACCGCACTCTGCTCCCAAACTCACAATTGTGCAAAACTCACACATATGTGCAAGCACACGCACATAACTACACGCATGCGCGCGCGCACACACACACACACACACACACACACACACTCACGTTTCAAAAACGCGGCCGTGACTGCGCACTCACGGCCCCAGGTGCATGATGTCGAGGATCTGGCCAAGGTGGGCCGGCGGCACGGCGCATGCCCATACTACGCCTCGCGCCACCTGGCGACCACTGCAGACCTCGTGTTCTGCCCCTACAGGTGTGCGTGGCGGCCGCACCTGCATGCGCAGCATGCAAAGCGTGCATGCCACGGACCCCGCGAGCAAGCCCAGCAGCTGCAGCCCTGAGAGGCTAGTCCGGGCAGCCGCAGCTATGGGGCTGCCTGCAAGGTGCATGGCGCCGTTGAGGACTGGTGCTCGCTTCTCCACCTTCCCTCCAGCTACCTGCTGGACCCCGTCATCCGGCGTGCGACGGGGGTTGACCCCGAAGGCGCAGTGCTAATCTTCGACGAGGCCCACAATATTGAGGACATCGCGCGGTGTGTTGCAGGGAGGGGGCACGGCATGCAGGAGGCTTTCACAAGGAGGGAGCGTTGGGGTTTTGTGGCCCGATCGGGCACGCGAGGCTCTTGCCCGCTCGAGCGCTATCAGCGCGATTTCTCGCCTGGCTGTTCCGCGCCTCCAGGGACGCGGGCAGCGCGGAGATTGACCTGGACACCCTCAAGCTCTCCTGGCTGGGCCTGGAGCGCGCCGCGACGCACGGCAACGCGCCGGACATCTACCGGCCGCTGGCGGACGCGACCATGGCGCTCATCCAGCGGCTCCGCGCTCTGGCGGGCGACGCGGGGCCGGGCGTGTGGCGCGCGGCCGGGTTTGAGACGCAGGAGCGCGTGTGGGCGGGGAGGGAGGTGAGCGGGTGCAGTGGGGATTGGGATGGCAGGGCCTGGGCTGGGGGTGCGTGTTGGCAGGCGGCTGGCGGTCCTGCCGTACGGCCTTGTTGCGTGGATGCAGCACATGGTCGTTGAGCAGTCGTGTCATCCGGCATGGCCTCATGCATCAGCATCGTCGCCCTTTGCATCATGCGTCGTATGCTGCAGCTGCTGGACGAGCTGGAGGCTGCCGGGCTGGGGCCTAATGACATCCCACATCTACAGGTGCGTCACTGTCCTTGCACGGGCAGTGGCCTTCACAGCACAGGCATCGCACTGACCAGCCCTGGCGATGCGGAACCATGCCCTGGCTGCCTTTGATTATGGCAGCAACTTGCTAGATGTACATTCCATCACCACACACGAGTGCACACACTCACACACACCCATACATGCACGCACACCAGGCTCTGTACGACCAAGCCCGGCAGGCGGAGGAGAAGGCGGCGTTCAACACAGGTGAGGCCTGCAGGGATACCAGGGGAGATCAGCGTGCCGGTCATCCAGTGGCAGCCCACAAGAGGCTGGTTTGTCCCACCCTCTCAGCCGGATGTGCCCAGATTCATACTGCATAGACTCAAGATTGTTTGCAAGCCGTTTCAACATCAGCTCACCCTCGAGTCTTCACACCTCTTGTGAAATCGCCCCCGCAGAGGGCGAGGCCGCATTGGAGGAGGTGCCCAAGGAGCTGGACAGCGCCCGCGCTGGCGGCCTCGCGCTGGCCACGCTGAGCCGCCTGCTGACCGTGCTGAGCCTGGTGTATGCCGGCGGCCCCGGCGGCGGCGACGCGGTCAGGGACTACCGTTTCGCGGTGCAACGGGAGGTGCGGCATCGAGGAGACAAGGGCGGCGGCGGCAGGTGCGAGGGCTCAGGGGCGACGCGTGGTGCAGCGCAAGGGGCCCTGTGCAGGACAGTCAAGATTGTCCACCGCTCTGTAGTTTACTTGAGCTTGCTTGTGCATCGCGGTGCTGCTTGAGGATTGTCCGCGGTCTGCGTGATGACAAGCATTGAAGGTCTGAATGCAAACTCGCATTCGCACCCATCTTCCCCGCAGGCGGGGCAGCAAGCGCTTCGCGCCCAACGCGGCGGACGCGCAGGCGGCCGAGGGGGCGTCCGCGGGCGAGGACAGCTGGAGCATGGTGGTCTGCCTGTGGCTGCTTAACCCTGCCGTCGTGTTTGGGCAGCTCAGCGGCAAGGTGCGCGCACACGGGGCCCGAGCTCCCGCCTGGGCCACGCCGCCATCACAACAACGAGGGCGTCCCTGCAGCTTTCCTGCGCTGGCTGCAACTTAGTTGGGATTTTAAGCCTTTGAGCCAGCAGGCGGCTTTGTGCAACGCCACGCCCGCCCTCTTCGGACCCCTCTGCTCAAGGCCTGGAGCATCGTCCTGGCGAGCGGCACCCTGGCCCCCCTGGACTCATTCGCTGGGGAGCTGCGGCTGCCGTTCCACGTGCAGCTGGAGGCGCCCCACGTGGTGGACATGCGGCGGCAGGTGAGCGGCCCGCAGGCCACGCAGGCTGGGCATGGCACGGAATTGGGTAGAAGTCAATATGACGATGGGTGTGCCGCCGCAGTCTGCCGGAAGGGGGCGGCAGGGTGGTTGGCAACCACGATTGTGAGGAGCTGCGCCGTAGCGTTAGCCTTGAAGGAGCACGCCCCGTGGCACGCTCAGACCGCTCCCTCTCGCGCCCCATCCAGGTGTGGGCGGGCGTGCTGCCGCAGGGGCCTGACGGCCGCATGCTGACCGGGACTTATAAGGAGGTCGACACGGTGCGCGCGGCAGTGCCGGGTCTGGCAACGTGCGCACGTGCGCTCGTGTCGGAAACCACTGCAAAAGGTGGCGGGTCACGGCGCGACGTTCATGCACGTTGCTCTCGTGCTCTCATGGCCGCGAAATTGCGGCCCCCATTCAGCACCGCGCGGTCCCTCCTCGAACCACCATTCAAAGTACTTGAGTACATAGTGCTGTCCGATCGAACACTCCACGAACTGTGCACCCCCAATCCTGCCCCCAGCTGGACTTCCAGGACAGCGTGGGCGCGGCGATGCTGGCGGTATGCAAGACGGTGCCCGGCGGCGTGCTGATGTTTGTGCCCAGCTACGCCCTCATGGACAAGCTCACACGGCGCTGGCAAGTGAGTGCTAGTGGGAGCTGTGGCGGTAAAGCACGAGGCGGGGCTGCCGACGGCCGCTTCTGTGTGTGGCAAGGGCACGAACTTCAGCAGGTGGCCGGCCTGGCGGGCGGCCCTGCTGTTCAGCGAAGCCTCATATTCGCACGCGGACGCCAGGCAACCGGGCTGTGGAAGCAGCTCGAGGGGGAGAAGCACGTGTGCAGCGAGCCGCGCGGCGCGGGCGACGCGTTTGACAAGGTCATCGCGGGCTACTACAAGGCCATCAAGCAGGGCAAGGGGGGCCTGTTCCTGGCGGTCTGCAGGGGCAAGGTGCGGGCCTGAGATTGATCCTTCGAGAGGGTTGGGATGAAGGATGCAGGGTGCAGGGCCTGTGGAGCAGGGGCCTGGGGTCCAACGGATTTTACCCACAGCTCAACTCGTCACTGTGCAAGCACTTTTGCGCCAAACGCACACGCGTGTGCAGGCGGTTGCACGGTCTTGAAACCCAAATGCATCCCACCCATGATATTTGCATCAGCCCGCCCGCCGGCGCTCACAACCCCTCTTCCCCCAAAGGCGTCCGAGGGCATTGACTTTGCGGACGACAACGCGAGGGCCGTGGTGGTGCTGTCCATACCCTTCCCAAACCTCAAGGACACAAAGTGAGGCCGGCTGGCAGGTTTTCAGGGTTCGTGAGTCAAGGTTCTGGGTCATGGACGCCCGGACAAGCTGGGGAGTCGCTAACAACGAAAATAAAATCAAATGCCTGGCTGGTGTTGGGCCCTGCCGCGGTAAAGGCTCAAAGCCCGACGTGCCAACAATGTGAGCCAAGCTCCCCGGCTCAAAATCACCGCTGCGATGCGTCTCTGCCGCCGCCGGCCCCGCCCCTCTGAGCCCCTGCCCTGTCCCCCTACCCCCAACCCACACCTGGCTTTGCACCAGGGTGGGCCTCAAGAAGGAATACAACAACGCCGCCCAAGGCCCCGCGGCACGCGCCCACCAGCAGCAGCAGCAGCGCGGCGGCGGCGGCGGCGAGGGCGGCGCGGCGCCGCGGCTGCTGTCAGGGGAGCAGTGGTATAGCCAGCAGGCGTTCAGGGCGCTCAACCAGGTGTGCGCCGCAGCAGCGCAGGCGACCCCGCCCTTCTTGCATGACTCCTTCTGGTGCCTGATATCTTGCAGGCAAGCCTGCCGTTTGCGGCCGTTGAGCAGCCCACCAGCGCAATGGTCTTCGAGGGCCTCCTCCTTTGATCACCAACAGAGACCGCCCCGCCCCTTTGCTGTTCCCCTGCCTCCCGCCCCATGCGCGCCAGGCCATCGGGCGCTGCATCCGCCACCGCTTCGACTACGGCGCCATCATCCTGCTGGACGAGCGCTTCCGCACCCCACGCAACCAGGCGTCCCTCTCAAAGTGGGTCCGCGGCGCCATTGCCGCGCACCCCACGTTTGACGCCGCCATGTCCTCCCTCGGCGCCTTCTTCTCGCGGCTCGCGGCGGACCCGCCGGGGCCGACGGGAGATGAGCTCAAGGCGGCTGCAGCGGCCGCCGCTGCCGCGGACGGCGGGAAAGGCGGGGGCGCCGCGGCGGGGCAGGTGCCGCTCGAGGCGGCCGACGCGGCGCGGCGCAAGGCCGCCGACGCGGCTGGGGGGTCGGCGGCGGGGGGCAAGCAGCTGCGGTATTCGGAGATGACGGCGAGCCGCGGTAAAGGGCCCGCCAGTCGCCCCTTGCCGCCGCCACAGCCAAAGGTGGCGCAGATGCAGCAGCCGCAGCAGGTGCCCGTACACCACCAGCAGCAGGGCCGGCAGCAGCGGCCACCCATTGAAATCAAGTACGAGCGGGAGGGGGTCGAGGAGGGTGCGCCGTCGGTGGTCCAGCCACTGCAGCAGCAGCCGCAGCAGCTCCAGCAGCCTGTACCATCACTGCACCAGCACAAGCAGCAGGCGGAAGGCACCCTCAAGCCCTCAAAGCTGCAGGAGGCAAACCAGGTGCCGGCAGAGGGCAGCCGCGCATCTCCACCCAGCGGCGGCGGCAGCGGCGGCGGCAGCGGCAGCGGAAGTGAGCCATCACAGGCCTTCATGTGCGCCCAGGCGCCGCCCTCCCAGGCAGCAGGGGGCCCGCTGGCGCTGCCGCAGCAGCAGTCCTTGCTGCCGCCGCCCTCGGCGAGGCCGCTCAACGCGTGGCGGGGCATGGCCGCGGGCGGCGGCATGAGCCTGCCGCTGTCGAGCTTTGGGCCAGGGGCGCGGGCCGACAACGGCGACCAGCCGCGCCCCAACCTGCCGCAGGCCCAGCATGCGGCGAAGGGCAAGCAGCAGCAGAGTGCAGGCGGGGCCGGAGGGGTTCAGACCTCCATTGGGCAGTTCTTCGGGAAGGCTGCGGCGCAGGCGCCTGGGCCGATCCTGCAGCAGCAGCAGCACCAGCAGCAGCAGCAGCAGATGTTCAGCAGCGCGCCGCACCTGCAGCAACCCTCGGGCGCGCAGCAGGGCCCTCCGCAGCACTGCCACCAGCAGCAGGAGCAGCAGCAGCAGCGCTTTTGGGGCGGGCCGCAGCAGCGCACATTGCAGGGCCGGATCTCACCCGAGGCCCCCTGTGTGCCCCGTGGTCCCGGCAGCGCCACCCACGAGAAGTTTGTGCCGCCCTCTATGCACCAGTGGCAGCTCGTGCAGCCGCTGGACCACAGAGCCGCGCCGCCAGGCTCGCTGCCGCTTTTCAACGGCATTGGCCAGCAGCAGCAGCAGCAGCAGCAGCAACAGCAGCAGCAGGGGGGCCCTAGCGTGATGCACGGACACTTGCTTCCCAGTGCCATCAGCCATCAGCGGCACCAGGGCAGTGCAGCCGCAACACCAAGCCCGCCGCCTGCTCTAGTGGCCGGCCGTCAGTCATGGCAGCAGCAGCAGGGTGGCTTTGGTTCCGCGCAAAGCTCACCGCCACTGGCAGGAATGCAGATGCAAATACAGCAGCAGCATCGGCAGCAGCAGGAATTTCGTCCCAGCAACAATCTGACGCAGCAAGGCGCACAGCAGCGGCGGCTGCCCCAATCCATGCGCCAGGGCCCAATGGGCTTCCCGCCTGTGCAGCCGCAGAGCAGCGTGGGTGCCGCAACAAGCCCGTCGTCCGTGGTAGGCAATGGCCAGCAGCAGCAGCAGCAGCAGCAGCAGCAGCAGCAGCAGCAGCAGCAGCAGCAGGCCGGCTCGATGCCAGTAGCAAGTCCACAGCCTGCAGTCCAGCAGGAGCACCAGGGGGGTGGCGGACCGACCCCCAGCCCTCCGCGAACCGTTGTCTGCGGCCAGCAGCATTGGCAGCAGCAGCAGCAGCAGCAGCAGCAGCAGCAGCAAAACTTCTCGGCTGGTCGCACCCCGCCCCAAACGGCAGCCGCATTTGGTGCGGGCATCCTGCCAGCAAATGCACACACCCCACCTAGCGCCGGCGCCATGCCGCCCGCATGCGGCACAGCCGTGCAGGCGCCGGCGACAGTGACTGCACTCGCGCCTGCCGCCGCTCATCAAAGGGCTCCGCACTGGCCCGAGCCCTCTCCCCAGGCGGCATTTGCGCAGCTGTCAGATCTAGGGGTCAGCCAGCAGCTGCTGGGAGGCTGGGTGGCGTCTGACCTGGCGAGTGCGCAGGCATACCTGCAGGCTGCGCGGGGCGGCGACAGCGTCGGCGGCGGTGCAAGCTGCTATCAGGTGCGGGGCCTATGGGCGCTGGCGCATCAACATGTGGTATTGCATAGCCCTTGCGCTGTGCAACCTGCTTGGCTGGCGATCACACTTGCGCGTTCTCTGACAGCAGGCATCGCAGTCTTGGACTGAAGTATGCATTATCCGGTGATGTGTTGATCTGCAGGAGGCAGGGGCGGGCCTGCTGGAGGCGTTCGGCTATGCAGAAGAGGTTGCGATCGCGTCCGGCGGTGCCCTGGCGCGCTTCTGGGCGGACTGGGCCTGCCGCCCGCCACAGGGCTTGCTGCTGGCGGCAGCAGCCGCTGGGCAGCTGCCGCCGGGAGCACCCGTGCCCCAGGGCCCGTGGCTGCGGCTGGCGGCGGGATGGCCGCTGCAGCTGAGCGTGCCGTGCCTGCAGGTCGCGTATCGGGCGGTGCTGGCAGAGGGGCCGGCGGCGGCACAAGGGGCAGCAGGGCTGCCGCCCCAGCAGCATGCATGGCCGCCACAGCAGCAGCAGCAGCAGCAGCAGTATTGGCCGCAGGGAGCCCCGCACCAGGGGCGTTTGCCACCTGGGGCGGCTCCGCAGGGGGCTGGGCCGAGCCACGGCGTGCCACCACAGGCATGGCCAGCGCAGCAGCAGCAGCAGCAGCAGCAGCAGCAGCATCGCATGCCCTGCCAACCCATCCACTCCAACAGCCTGCCGCGGGCCCAACCGCCGCCGGTCACCAAGCCGCCAATTCAGCGACAGTGGGAGGGCGGTGGTGGGCCTGTTGGCGGCGGGGGCGCTGCAGACAGCGTGCTCGGGGAGCTGTCGCAGAGCGTCAGCCGGCCGAAGCGGGTCCTTGCGGGCGCCAACGCCAAGGAGAGGACGCAGCGCAGCCAGGGCAGCGGTGCAGCCAGTATGGCAGCAGTGGCGGGGGGCGCCCAGCAGCAGCAGAGGGGCATGAAGCGAGCGAAGCGGCAGGAGGGCGCCAGGCCGGCGCGCGGCGTCAACGGGGGCGCATCGGTGGTGGCCGCGGCGGCGGACGACTCCGACGACGACTTTGCGTGATGGCGGCGGCCAGGGTGTTCAGCCCTGCCACGGGCAGCTGCATTGACCAGCTACCACGTGGTGGCAGGCCGCTTGCGCAACTCTTGTTTAGATTGCTGTGGCACCTTTGTGGCACGTGTGGTGAAATCCTGTGCAGCCAGTACCTCAAACAACTCACAACTGCATTTACCCTGTACATCACAACTAACTTGAGGCACAGCCAATAAGTGTGGTCACATGTTGTAATAACAGGACCTAAGATAACATGCGTCGGCCGGCCTGCCTTGATGACGTCAGCAGGCCGGGTTGACCACAAACAAAGCGGGGCCGCCGTGGCAAGACGGCCCGTGCTTGCAGCAACAAAACAAGGCGGGTTTGCAGGACATGCACAGAGTGTTGAGCCATGTCTCAACTCTAACACCCTTGCACATGCGCTGGCCATGCGGGCAGCATGGCTCCCATTTACCCGCTGCCACAGCACGCTAAGCAGCCACGATGCTGGTAGCTGGCTCGGTCGCGCACCGCCAGCCCCAGCCGACGGTGCAGGCTGCTGACTGCGCAGACTCGATCAGAAAACTGCGCAGCCCAAAACTATCAAATCATGGCTTTTTGAGCAGGAAGGCGTCCGCTTTTGAGCCGCAGACATGTGTGGCCGCGGCAGGTCCGGGCGGGGGGGGGCGCTCACGACACGTAGAGCGACGCGGCGAAGACGACGTCCCTCTTGATGGCTGCGCTGGCGTCCTGCATCTTCTGGAACAGCGCCGTGTCCCCCATCACGCGCGCCGCATCCATGACCTTGGGGAAATTTGAGGGGGAGGGTAAGCAAGGTGGTGAGGCGGGGGTTGCGGGGACGGGATGGGATTGCATTGGGGAGCGATTGTGGGGGAGGGATGCATGAGCAGATTGATGTGTGACGCCGGTAGGGCCGTGTCAGTGAGGCGCGTGGACCAAAAGCAGCCGAGCCTTGCGGAGCGTTGGCTACGCTACATCACAGCCAAAGCAACGCGCAGCAAGGCTCGGCTCACGGCTGCCAAGGCTGCTGGAGCGCGCCCCCAACAGGACCCCCTCCCCCCTAAGCACATGTGTGCAACCACTGCTGCCCCCAGGGTGCGGCCCCGCGGCCCTCCGGCCCCTCGTCCCCGCCTCACCTCCCTGCAGCACTGGTCGAGGCGCACGACCGCGCGCACTATGGAGCCCTCCATCACGTCGGTCAGCCCCGTGATGACGCTGAAGGGCGTGCCGCGCGCCCACTCATACACCACCTGGGGTGGGGGGGAGGAGAACGGATGGCGATGGGGGCGATCAGCTTTGGGGCGGGGGCGGACGGATTAGGACGTGCGCGTGCATGCGCGCGCGCGCGCGCGCGTGTGTGTGTGTGTGTGTGTGTGTGTGTGTGTGTGTTTGTGTGTGTGTGTGTGTGTGTGTGTGTGTGCACGCGCGCGCTTCTCAAGGACGCCGTGGCGCCTGGTGAGCCGGGGGCCCTGCTGGTGGCGGGGCGGGTCCATCGTCGACCAGCACGGCCCGCGGCACAAGCGGCTGCCACAACCCAGCCACTCCTATCTTGACTCGTCCTGGCAACACCTGCCCCTGCCCCAAAACGATACCGCCAAGCAGCAGCGATCGAGGCACTCGTCAAACCCAGCCCGCGCCGCCCGCCTGCCCTGTCACAAGGAACAGGCGGGACTGGCCGGGACGTCGGCCCCTGGGCCCACCCC